CTTTTCTTTACGGAGATATCATTACTTGAGAATTCCAGATTACAGGCCGTCGATTAAGTTTTGTCGCAAATGACATCGAGCAAAGAGGATACTTCATCATATCACAAGCCATGCTGGGTAGCGGACGTGATTTAATAGTAAGAAATGAACAAAATTCTAATCTGCTTATCGTTTTGACCTAAAGGGTACCTATCACTGCACTTAACACGCACTTTTATCACCCTGCTCTACCATCCCGTCTTATTGAATTTTTGACTATATCGTCCTTGGTAGGGGTCTCTCTTATCTTCTCTTATCAGTTATGATCAGTTCTTGTGACCGAGTACCTACGATCCCATCATATCCTACATCACTTACTAAAATGCTGAGGTTCCACTGTTAGTACGTAGAGTGTAATCCTACCGAATTTCAACGCTCTAGGTCCACGTAAACAGGAGTTATGAACCTGCACCTCGTACTCTTACCAAGCTTGAAAGCTCTCGTTCCACTGGAACAGGAGTTATGAATTTGCAGCCCAAAACTGCTATCGCGCACGCACCGCCCCTGTGCATAGAAACTGGTCATGCCATCATAAGTGTTCCCATCCTGCCCCCCGTACTCCTACCCAGTTTGAACGCTCTAGGTCCCACGGGGACAGGATTTATGAATTTCCGGTCGGACAAACACACAAAAACACACCAACAGACACACTTGGCCGATTATATAAGTAGATTACACAGGTATCGTATCGAGTTCATAGTGGAGTATCTGTGTGTAGTGTATACGACTCACAAAAAATGAACGCAGTTACTACTTCCTCATAAGAGACGTGTAGTTGGATCGGTCAAGGTCAGTCACCTCATCGCTTTTCAGCCTCTATCTTTGACTCACTAAAGCTACTTTCGGTGAAAGAAAAAACCAGTTTCAATTCATGAAATGGGAACAGTTTCGAGTGAAACGTGGAAGATAAATTCTATGAAAACTAGATTGCCTTTCAGAGAAAGAACTCTAACCAACTATATACATATTTAATCTAGGCGCCCGACGCCAGATTTTCGACACCTTTATCCGTGGGCGAGTACAAGACTGTGATCAGGGAAACGCTCGCACGTGCTGTGTGGTTCATCACAATTAACGCTGTAATCAAGATGCTCCTCACCTAAATTGTCACCTACAGACAACCGAGGGCGAGCCGCATGGTATGGCTTTGGTTTTTAAAATCAGAACATGCATTGTAGTTATTACGTAACTATTATAGTTGAGTCGCCTGTCTGATATCGAGGCATTTTTCCCTCCTATGACAAATTAAGAAAGCTCTGACAAACCTTCCTTTTTTGAAACGAATGATACATTTTTAAACATCGGGCTTTCAGAGGAAGATTATCTGACACAGCACGGAAAAGGAGAGGAAGTTTGCAATGAACCATTAGTGGATCGAAGCATCGAATGATACTTACTAACCAATCGGGCCGCCCGACTAACGCCGGGCTTCCCTCCTTCTTAGGGTGCCGCCCGGCTTCGCCGGGCGCACCTCCTTCCTGTATGGAATTTACTATGCGTAAATAACTCTTCGGATTCCCCTTTTTCTTTGGAAGCTCTACACCCTCAGCATTAGCTCCGAATAGGGAGCGATTTTTCTGTGTTATAATTAAAGTCGGATTGCTAGGCTATCGCCGGGCACCCTCCTTCTTATATAAAGTCGGTTCGTTTGGCTTACGCCGAGCTTCCCTCCTTCCTTGACAAAGTTGTAGTAATCGGCTAACTCTCCACCCCTTCTTCGAAGCAAATAATATTTTCCTGTACACGAAGTTTGACACAGGACTAACAGGGTATTGGTATTCAGTGTAAGTCGGTACTTATGTCTTGAATTGGGAGCCTCGATCTTTTGCTCTCGTTCTTGAAGATGAATACTCAATAAAGATTGAACTATTAGGTAACCAAAGCCTTAGGCGGTACTTACAAATATTTCGTATAATGATAACTCCATTATCAGATGTTATCAATGAACCTTTTACTTCACAGAGATAACATTAGTTCAGAGTTCCAAATAACTGGCGGTCGGTTAATTTTGTTGCAAATGATATCGAACAATGAGGATCTTTCATCAAGTCACAAACTTTGCTGTGTAGCGGTCGTAATCTAATAGCAAAAAATGAACAAAATTCTAATCTGCTTATCGTAATGTCGCATATAGGTCCCTATAATTGCACTTACCACTCCTTTTGTAACCCTACTCTGCCATCTCATCTTGTCGAATGAAACATACCGAACAGCCAAAGCTACCTCATGAATACCGAAGGCGTTAGGATTTCGATCGGCAGGTGCACTTGCTCTATCAGGCCCTTTATCTTCTTTTATCAGTTATTATCGTTTCTTGTCACCTTGTACCTAGGATCCCGTCATATCCTACACCACTTATTAAAAAGCCGAGGTTCCACTGTTAATACGAAAAGCTGTAATCTCACCATCTTTGAACCCTCTAGGTCCGCAGAAACAGAAGTTACGAATTCCCGCTCAAATGTTTATTCTGCACAAACCCCGTCCCCTGTAGGCTGAGTCTGCCCCTATCACCTGCCATAAGTGTTCCCATCCTTGCCCGCGTTTTCCTACCGAATTCAAACTCTCTAGGTCCACATAAACAGGATTTACGAATATGCAACCTAAAATTTCTATCGCGCACACACTGGAGTTCGATCTTGCTACCTGCCATGAGTGTTTCCATCTTACTTCCTGTACTCCTACCAAGTTTGAATGCTCTAGGTCCACGGGAACAGGAGTTATGAATCTCCTGTCAAACACACACACCGACACACACACACACCGACACACCAACAGACACACTAGCGAATTATATAAAGTAGGATGTTGCCGAGTAATGATAGCCCCAATATCAAAAACCGCCATTTATTACCCTTCTTATCTCTACTACAGTGTGTTTCAAAAGTATGTGCACACCCAACATTTTGTGTTTTTGTGAATACCATTGCGTTCTGTAACCTGTGACCTTCACCATTGGATTCCTTGTGTGCGATAACCTACGACCACTTTCTCTGAGAAAACATTGTAGCTGCTAACATAATTTTTTATTGAAGAAAAA